TGAAGATAGCCGTGTCTCCTGAGCCCTCAGAGACTTGCTTGAGAGTGAGGGGACCCAAATGCTTAAGCCGAGGGGTCCCCAACTCCCAGGCCGTGGACTGGTACCAGTTCATGACCTGTTAGGACCTGGGCCGCACAGCAGGAGGAGGTGAGACAGCCAAGCTTCATGTCTTTACAGCCACGCCCCAATGCTTCCATTGCCGCCTGAGCTCCGCCTCCTGTCAGATCAGTGGCAGCATTAGATTCTCATAGGAGCTTGAACACTCCTGCGCTTGAATTATCCTGAAACTACCCCGTCTCCCCACTCCCAGTCTGTAGGAAAATTGTCTTCCATGAGACCAGTCTCTGGTTCTAAAAAGGTTGGGGACCAGTGGCTTTAATCCAAACAGCCAGGCAGCATCCTTGATCCTTCCTCCTTCATCACCTACATCTAAAAACATCAGCAAATCCCATCAATTTCCTCTCCTCTCCAGAGCCTCTCTGCACAGAATACAGGTGTCGCTTGTATGTCAACCATGTGTTTCTGATCCCTTGAAGTCTGGGGCCTTGCTGACTGTGGAGGGACTGCCCCTCCCAGGGCCGGCCAGTTCCTAGATATGGTGATTCACTCTGGAGTGTGCCTTTCATATGCGAACAAACCCATCCAATCCCTAAGCCCCAACCTCCTTCTTTATCAGGCTCTCACACCCTGGGCCGCTATCTACCTGCCCCCAATACCCTGGACCGGGGGCAGCCCGTACACCCCAGAGCCTGCTGATACTCTTCAAACTGGCCAATCCTAAGCCTGCTGACCCTGAGTCACCCATGCCTTCCCATGGAAACCACTATTGAGGTTCTTGTACACATTTTCCCTCACTCCTTCTGTCCCCTGGCTGACCCTGGTGCATCCTCATGACCCTGCATGGGTGGCAGGGCATGCCCACTCTTCTTGGGTACTGCAACCGACTACCTTCTCAGCAGCAGTCCTCTTTTGATCTGTTTGTCTTGCCGTATCTGAACAGTAATCGCATCTACATTTTAATCCATCCTGGAGTTGTGGCCCTAGACTGTCTGGACCCTACAGTAACCCCCACCTACTCAAAATGCTTCTCCTCCAGGCCTGCAGCCCGTGAACCCTGGGACTTTCCGAAATGAAACCCGATTTTGTCAGTTCTCATATTTAAAATTCCCCAGGGGCCTCCACTACAAATTAGAATAAAATCCACCTTCCTTCCCATGGCCTAGAAGGCCTCATGTGTCCCAGCTTCTACAACCTGTTCTCAGGCCTCCCCCAGCTTGGAGCTCCAGCCACAGTGGCCTCCTTTCAGAGACGCCAAGCTATTTCCTGCCCCGGGGCCTTTGTACGTGCTGTGCTCTCTGCCTGGAACACTCTTCTCCTTAGTTTTGTGCAACTGGCCCTTATTCCTCTAGTGTCAGTCCAATGTCACCCCTGGAGAGGCCTTCCTTAACCATACAGTCAGACATCCTATTCTATTATTGTTTTATTTTCTTCATTACAATTGTGAGTCTGTAATTATTCTTCTGGGCTTCCCAGGTGGAGCTAGTGGTAAAGAGCCCACCTGCCGATACAGGAGATGTAAGAGATGCAGGTTCAATCCCTGGGTCAGGAAGATCCCCTGGAGAAGGGTATGGTAACTCACTCCAGTATTCTTGCCTGGAGAATCCCATGGACAGAGGATCCCGTTGGACTACAGTCCATGGGGTTGCATAGAGTCAGACACAACTGAGAGACTAAGCTCAACATAGCGCAATTATTCTTTTGGGCTTCCTAGGCAGTCCTAGTGGTAGAGAGCCTGCCTGCCAATGCAGGAGGCACAAGAGACGCAGGTTCGATCCCAGGGTTCGCAAGATCCTTTGGAGAAGGGTATGGCAACTCACCCTAGTATTCTTGCCTGGAGAATCCCATGGACAGAGGAGCCTGGTAGGCTACAGTCCCAGGGGTCACACAGAGTCAGACATGACTGAAGTGACTGAGAATGCACACAATTATTCTTTTACTGGTTGAGCGTCTGTCTCCCTACCACACACCCCGACTTGGAGTAGAATATAAGTTCCTTGAGAACAGGAGCCTTGTTCACGATTGCATTGCCTGAGCCTAGACAGCCTGGCATGTTGTATTGGATGCATGAATGAACAAGGGGTACCTTACCTGTGTGTCCAGGACTGGAGAGGGGAGTGGAAGGGGCTGAGGAGTGAGCGATTGTCCCCTGATGTGACCCTGCAGCCACTTGGGAGCTGCTGGTTCGTCAGAGGCTCCCAGCTCCTGGCTCCAGACCAGGCCACTGCAGAGTCAGGGCTGGGAAAGGCAGACAGCATCTGCTTCCTGGAGAAGCCAACCGGAAGCTGGCCTCTGTCTCGTGAGGTTCTGCTGACCATCACATTCCCCGGCAAGGGTGTCTTGTCCTTCCGCAGACCCCAGGTTCAACTGTTGCCCGCTCCAGAGGCTTGGCTGTCCCCAGGCTGCAGCTCCACTTGGCCCGAAAGATCTCATGCGGCTTTTGCTGCTGCAGAGATGCCTGGGGTGGCTGCCAACACTTTTATCTTTTCATTTCATCTGCCAGCCAAGAGCTTTTTCCTGCTTTTGCCTCTTGAAGCTTAAGGCAAGGAATGTTGACCTTGAGTACAGGTGCTTCTCAATTCGTTACTCAAGGTTCCCTGCCCTGGTTCATATTCAAACCAGCTGCTTCCCAATCTTTCTCTTCCTTTCCCTTGGCCTCCCTGTTCCCTGGCAGCCTTGAAACAAACTTTGGGATTTTTTATCCCCCTGAGATTTGGGTTTAGGCAGTAGGAGCCCTGCTAGTATGCCCCCGTGAGTTCCCTGGTGGCCTAATGGTTAGGATTTGGTGCTGTTACTGCTGTGGCCTGGTTGGGTAACTGGGATCCTGCAAGCTGTGCCACACGGCATGACCAAAGTTAACAAAACAAAAAGACTCAGCTTAGTTTGCCCCCTTCACTCAAGGGTACCAAGGCACCCCTTTAGACTCTGGCCACATGGCCACTGGGAGAAAATATTGCCAGGGTCACAGTCAAGTTCAGAGTGAAGGGGATTCCAACCCCTGAACATGGGGCTCTGGTTCCCCACCTTCACCACATTCATCCGACAAACATGTTTTGAGGATCTGCTGCTTGTCAGGCATTGGTCCACTGGGGTCTCGCTTACTGGACTGGGGAGGGACTTGGACCATGTCCATATTGCAGAGCGATCCAAGAAGATGTGTTTGGAACCCATCATGTGACAGTTCTGCAAAGCATTCTGGGACAGCTGGATAGCCACATGCCAAGGGATAAAGTTGGACCTCCTTCCTCTCACATCATCTACAAAAATTAACCAAAAATGAATCAAAAGCCTAAACGTACAAGCTAAAACAAGCTTTTAGAGGAACATGCAAACATACATTTTCATGGTATTGGACTAGGCAAAGCCTTCTTAGATATGATTTCAGAAGCACAAGCAACAAACCAAAAAAAGATAGATAAACTGGACATCAGAATAAAAAAAATTCTTATGCTACAAAAGATATCATCAGGAAAGTGAAAATATAACCCACAGAACTGGAGAAAATTTTTGCAAATCTGGTAAGGGGCCCGTGTCGAGCACATATAAAGAATTCTAACAACTCAATGGTAAAAGAACCCACTTGAAAATGGGTGAAGATTATGACTAGATAGTTCTCTAATAAGAAATGGCCAATAAGCACATGCAAAGATGCTCAATGTCATGTGAAAGTGAAAGTCGCTCAGTTGTATCCAACTCTTTGCGGACCCCATGGACTGTACAGTACATGGAATTCTCCAGGCCAGAATACTGGAGCCTGTTCACTTCTTCAGGGGATCTTCCCAGCCCGGGGATTGAACCTGGGTTTCCCACAATGCAGGCAGATTCTTTACCAGCTGAGCCACCAGGGAAGCCCCAAAGGCCACATATTATATGATTCCATTTATATGAAATATACAGTGTAGGAGAATCCACAGGTACGGAAAGTAGATTTGTGGTTCCCTAGGGCTGAGAGAACTGAGGGGAAATAGGGAGTCAGTGCCAACAGGTACATTGTTTCCTGTTGGGGTGATTAAAATGTTCTTAACTGATGTGGTGATGGGTGCACAACTCTGTGGCTATATAAAAAACAATGAATTGTACACTTTAAATGGATGAATTGTGTAGCATGCGAATTATATCACAGTATAACTGTTACCAAAAAAATCATGTATGTGATGAAAATCCTGGAAAATCAAGAGGGTTTGAGAATCTGTGAATTCATAATTTGTGGTAGGCAGAATTATGACTCTCTAAAGCTGTCTAGGCCCCAGTGTGTGGAGTCTGTGAGTATGCCACCTTATATGGCGAAAAGGACTTTGCAGGTATGATTAAAGGTATGGACTCTGAGTTGAGGGAGATGATCCTGGTTTACACAAATGTGCCGTCTAATCATATGAATCCTTAAAAGCAGAAGTCCGATCCCAGATCCATCAAAGAAATGAAGCTGACAGTAAGGATGAGAGATGCTAAGCACTTGACCTGCCATTGCTGGCTTTGAAGACTGAGGAAAGGGGTCATAAGCTAGGGAATGTGCAAGTCTTTAGAAGCTAGGAATGGTCCTCAGCTGACAATCACCAAGGCACCAGGAATCTCAGTCCTAACACCACAAGGATCTGATTTCTGCACCCAAATGAACAAGGAAAGGGCTCTTCATAAAAGGCACACAGCACTGAAACTCTTTGGTTTTAGCCCAGTGAGATCCACATCAGACTTCTGGCCTACAGGACTGTAAGATAACATATTTGTTTTGTTTAAGCCACTAAATGGTAGTCAATTGTTATGGCCGCAATAGAAAACCAACATGTAGCTGTTACTTTATGTAGACTTTAATAAGCCAATATTTAAAACAAGAAAAGAGTGCTAGTCTTTCTCATGACTGGGGAGGAAAAGATGTACTCGTGGCTGAAAATCCACAACACCTGTTCTTTCCTCCCTACCCCATGCAAAGACTGAAGGAGTAGAGCTCACTTAGTGACTGCTGCCCCAAAATAGAAACTGTAACATGATTTTATTTCTAACTCCTCTGCCCTCTCTGGTGAGTCATTCATCTCTCCAGGTCTCACTTTCCACATCTGGGAAGCAGGGTGAATTAACCCTGACTTCTGCCTACCCCACAGTTTAGAAAGAAAAAAACAAAACAAAACAAAACTCAAACAGAGCTCCAGGGTGCTCCTTGGCAGACACAGTTTGGGTCCCAGGACACCCTCCCCTCCATGGGGCATCATTCCTTTATTCTGGCTTCCTTCAGAGAGTTTTGGGTACACCTGGTCCCTCAGGATGTGGAGTATCTTGTCATGTGGGCTTGCAGCTTCTGTTAGCATAGAAGTGAGAAAAGCTTCAAGTATCCCAAGGTGCTGAAGCTCATCACAAAGTCCCATGGACAAAGTTTGAGATTTTTGGTTTGGGGAGCAACCAAACCACCAACAACAACCTTGTTGTTGTTCAGTCGCTAAGTCATGTCTGATTCTTTGTGACCCCATGGACCGCACCATGCCAGGCCTCCCTGTCCTTCACTACCTCCTGGAGTTTGCTCAAACTCATGTCCATTGAGTTGGTGATCCCATCCAAACATCTCATCCTGTCACCCCCTTCTCCTCCTGCCCTCAATCTTTCCCAGCACCAGGGGTCTTTTCCAATGAGTTGGCTTTTTGCATCAGGTGGCCAAAGTATTCAGAATCAGTCCTTCCAATGAATATGCAGGGTTGATTTCCTTTAGGATTGCCTGGTTTGATCTCCTTGCTGTCCAAGGGATTCTCAAGAGTCTTCTCCAGCACCACAGTTTGAAAGCATCATGGGACCAAATTGTTTTCATGATGGAAAGAAAGCAAAGTAATGGTTCAGATCAGACTAGGAGGAACAGAGTCAGGAGATGAGATAGGACTCCAAGACAGGGAGGAGGGCAGAGAAATGAAAACATCTCAACTATGTGTGGGTGTGGAAGTACTTCTCTCATTAGGGAGAAGTGCTGTGATGCTCTAGACTCACTTCATGTTACTCCCCTGATCCACCCCACTGACACCTATGTGGACACAAGGATTTTCTTAATAAGCTGCTTATAGATGACTTGGCTTTGGGATGTTCTCATTTATTTAAAATTTTTAAATTTTATTTAATGAATTTATTTATTATTGGCTGTGCGGGGTCTTCACTGCTGCATGCAGGCTTTCTCTAGTTGCAGTGAGCAGGGCCTACTCCCTAGTTGCAGTGCTCAGGCCTTCCATTGTGGTGCCTTCTCGTGTTGCAGAGCTGGGGCTCTAGATCACGTGGGCTCAGTTGTCCTGTTGCATGTGGGATCTTAGTTTCCCAACCAGGGATCAAACCCATGTCCCCTGCATCGATAGGTGGATTCTCAACCACTGGACTACCAGGGAAGCCCATGGGGTGTTTTTAAAGATGTTCTAGAGGTAACTGAAGATCATTCTCATGATATCTGTACAGGGATCTGGGAAACGTCCCCTCTGCTCATCTCTGACTCTGGGCACCTGCCTTCTTCCATCTGTACCTCCTTCGGCTTGGGTTTACATGGCACGTGACTGCACAGTGCGCCGAGGGCCATGAGTGTGGGAAGAGCTCTTGACTGAGTCCTGGCATTGTCCAATATGATTTGGCTGGCCCCTGCCCTAGACCCTCCTACCCACTTCCAGCTGTGGAGGCAGTCTGGCAGGGACCTGGCTCCTTAACTCTCCCCATAGTTCCCACCCAGCATGGCCAAGTCTTCACTGACATCCAGCAGCTCTCTGCAGGCCCCCAGATGGCCCCTGGCCCTGGTGACCATGGAGCCCAGCCCCCTTGGCTCCCCAGCCTTCCTGGAACCCTCTTGCCTAATATCCTGTGTGGTAATCATGCCTGTTGGCCCTCCTTAGTCCTGCTGGCCACTGCCAAGTTCCTTCTGCTAGTTCCTGACATTCCTACCTCTAGGGGAACTTTCATGAAATAAAAAGCTACTAAAAGTTTTTTTTTTTTTCTGGTCAGAATGCCCCCTCTTGGGTAGTCCCACACTCCTCAGCATAGGTGACCAGGTATTCTCCTGTGTCTGGGATGGGATAAAGGTGGGTCTGAAAAAAGGGAAAGAGCTAAAATGCTCAGGAATGGGCATGGGATGGGGGAGCTATTTCCAGGAGGTGGTCCTGGGTGGTCGTGGGCTAACTCAAGGTCACCCAGGGTCAGCTGAGAAGCAGGAAGAAGCAGCTGCTTTTCTGATGGCCATGGCCCCACTGGGGCACTGGCAGTAGTGTAGAGCTGGGATAAAAGTGATCACCAAGGTGAGGGTGAGGGTAGACACAGCGTGATCATGGCAAAGAACGGGGCAAAGGACTGGCATACCATCCACTGAGTGCTGAGAGGCGCTTCACCGGTCATCTGCTTTATCATCATCCCATCATCCTATAGATAAGGTCTTCTTCCCATCCACTGTCTTGCTAATAAAGCCCCAGAGGTGCAAGCTACCACTTGCTGAGCACTTATCATAGGTGGATGGCTCAGCGGTAAAGAATCCGCCTGAAATGCAGAAGCCGCAGGAGACGTGGGTTCGATTCCTGGGTCAAGAAGATCCCCTGGAGGAGGGCATGGCAAACCAGTCCAGGGTTGCCAGTCCACTCTTGTCTGGAGAATCCCATGGACAGAGGAGCCTAGTGGGCTACAGTCCATAGGGTCGCAAAGAGTTGGACAAGACTGAAGTGACTTAGCACGCAGCACGCAGTGTCTTCAAGGTCACAGGAGCATAGGCAGCCTGTTCTCCCACCCCTAAATCACTTCTGGAGATTAAAAATGCGGGGCACCATGCTGCTCCTTCTACAGATGGAGAAATGCGAGGCCTAGGAAGGTCAAGTGATCAGTTCCAGGTCCCACGGCTTGTGCCAGAATCTGACGAGGAGCCAGCAACTCGGCTCCACGACACAACGACTTCCCTCGGCCCTCCCGTGTCCAAGAAGGCGGCCCGGCCCCTACGACGCACGAGAGATTCCAGAGACGCAGAAAAAGGCCCGCTCACTTCGCTCTTAAGACCAGCTCATCCACGCGAACCAGGGAAACATTTGAGATGGGCCCGCCCGCCAACCCCTAGCGACCCGAGCTAGGGGGCGTGGTCTCGCCTGCGTCTCCTCCTCCGCCGCCAGCCCCGGCTCAGCCCCACTGCGCGCGCCCCTCGCCCGGTCCTGCTGAGCGCGCGCGCGTCCTGGGCCCGGGGGCCCCTCTCCGCGCGCCCCTGGCCTGGCCCTACTGCGCGCGCGCGTCCCAGGGCCCGGGCCCCACTGCGCGCGCGCCGAGGCCGCAGGGGTTTGAAGCCCAGGCCCAGAGGGTCAGCCGTGCTCCCAGACACTGACGTGTCTCGGGTTGGGTCGGGACCGGGCGGTCCGGCCGGACTCGGCCTCGTCCCCCATCCCCCGCTCGCCGCCCCCGGCGTCGCTGGCGAAACCCGAGTGCGCGTTAGGCGCGGGGCCGCGTGACGCGCACCTGTCGGGGCTGGCCGGGCGGGCGGAAGAGAATGCGCCGGGCCCCGACCTGGCCTGAGCCCGGCCAGCAGCACCGCGCGGCCCGCGCCGCCCCCGACGTTTCCCGGAGAAGCGGCCGACTCTGACGGGCGTGATGAAGTAAGCTGCCTCCCCCGCTTTCTCTCCGGCTTCTTGGGCCGCAGGAGGAGTCTTTTACAGCCGGATGGCGGCTGCGCGCTCCCGCCCCTGCGAACCCGCAGGCCCGGGAGTCCAGCCCCGCGTGGCTGTAAAATCTTCGGGCGTTTGATTGGGAAGAGTCACCCCAGCCACCACCCATCTGCCCCAATTCTCTTCCCCGCGTTCCTTCCGCAAAATAAATTATTCACTTCCTGTTCCTCAGATGCCTTGGCGTGGCAGTGCTGCGTGGTGGCGGGTTGGCTGGAGGCAGCCAGGCCCCGTCGAGGCTGGTCCGGAGGGGCCAGCGGCGTCTCCTTTTCCTGGACTTTCTGGAATTCAGTTCAGTGAGAGGAGGAATTGGAGCCCCCCACCCCAACTCCCACCTCCCTTGGGGATCGGCTTAATCTTTGGCACTAGCGCTCAGGTTTCCATCAGCGTTTCAAATACATCCATCCAATGAATGGTTTTCCAGAAGCAGACCTGTCTGGGTCCCTGAAAATCAGCGCACTCAAACTTGAGTGTTTAAACGGAAGTGAGAACTTCTGGAGAAGTCATAAGCTGAAATTCCTTGCCCACCCACCCCACTGTCCCCTAGGCAGGCCTGTGGCTCCTGAAAGTAGTCAGCGCGGGAAACCTTCAAAGACTTGGTGTATTTTAAACTATGTTTTACACTAACTGGGGCTTCCCAGGTGGCTCAGTGGTGAAGAATCCACCTGCCAATGCAGGAGACACAGGTTTGATCCCTGGGTGGGGAAGATCCCCTGAAGGTGGAAATGGCAACCCACTCCAGTATTCTTGCCTGGGAAGTCCCATGGACAGAGGAACCTGGCGGGCTGCTGTCCATGGGGTCGTAAAAGAGTCCGACACATTAGTTAGTACGTACTCTATAGTGATGCATAGAGTGTTTGAGCTTAGGAGGCTAATCTTCTGGCAAGTTTTAGGAGCACCTGAGAGGAAAATGCTCAGTGTTTGGCATGAGCAGAGCTCACTTTTAGGCAGTGTTTTTTTTTATGTAACCCTTTCTTTGAGGTACATAGCTGCTCAGCAGATACACACTCCAGGCAGGCATTCAAGTTATTTTATCCAAAGACTGATAAAATTTACTATTGTGGGATGGTTTTAGGCCCTTTAAAGGGGAAACTGTCAAATCTGTGGGCAAAGGGAAACCAAGAGGCTCCTTTGGTCATCTGTGGCTAATCCACTTCTCATTTTCTTAAAAAAATATTTATTTGACTGCATCAGGTCTTAGTTGAAGCATGCTAGATCTTTAGATCCCCCATGGCATGTGGGATCTAGTTCCCTGACCAGAGATGGAACCCTGGCCTTCTGCATTGGGAGCATGGAGGCTTAGCCACTGGGCCACCAGGGAAGTCCCTACCCACTTCTCATTTTATTGATGGAATTTGAACAAGGAAAAATGTCATTGCTTGTTGCCAGATTTCACCATGGATTCTGCCAATCCCTAACCCACAGGCAGAGCAGGAAGTCTGGTTTTCCTTTCTGTTACCCTGAGCTGGGAGTTGGGTGGCTCTTTGTCTACGAGACCTCTTACCAGCATTGCCTCCCGAAGTATTTTCACAGCCACGATCTGGGTGTTTGGTTTTTTTTCTTTTGGCAAGACATTAAAATGAGGTGAATGCTACCCATCTTACAGCTGGAGAAAAGGCCCTGAACAGTTAAGTGAAAGTCCCAGGGCTGCAGAGTTAGAGGTTTGCTCTACTGCTGTATTCTTTGGCCTGGATTATAAACCCCTTATGGGCTGGGGTGGAGACTTTTTTAGCCATCTCAGGTTTATGCCACTGTTGCTATTTAAGTCACATCCAACTCGTTGTGACCCCGTGGACTCTAGCCCACCAGACTCCTCTGTCCACGGGATTTCCTAGGTG